GCGCGCGACCCCGAGCCGGCCCGAAAGACACACACTTACTCGTTTTCGTCCCGAATCCCCGGGAGTTCCGTCAAGTGACACTTCCGGGCTTAGAGCCCCGCCTCTCGCGCAGAGGCCGACGCGTCTACGGCGGCCGCCGAGGGCGCCAAAGCTCCCAGAAGCGGGAACGACAGCCGCTCCCGGAAGGAGGCTCATGGGAATACTTTGCATCAGCGTCTTCTGCTCAGGTTTCCGACTCTCTTCTCACTTCATCCACTTTGGAATTTTCTTTCCTTTCTGGCTTTTTTCTTCTTTCCTTCCAGTGCTTTTATGACCTTTGTCTTATCATTGGTGTCCTTAATGACCTTCCACAATCCACCTGGTCTGTCTTCTGTCTCTAGTACTCAATGCCTGAAATGTGTTCTTGAGCTGGTCTCAAAGTTCATGGAATCAATTCATGCTCACAGTCACTGCTTTTCTGGGCTTGTTTTGTTTTGCTTAAGCTTCAACCCCTACTTACCTATGAACAATTGGTGGGCTGGTCCAAGGTCAGCCTTTTGGTTGAGATAATAACCTCTAATGCTTTTTCCCATCCATGTATAGTTGATTCCTGTGTGTTTATCTAGAACAGTGGTTCTCAACTTTCCTAATGCTGAGACCCTTTAATACAGCTCCTCATGCGGTGGTGACCCCCCAATCATAAAATTATTTTCGTTGCTAATTCATCACTGGAATTTGGCTACAGTTATAAATCGTCATGTTAATATCTGATAGGCAGGATGTATTTTCATTTTTACAAATTCAACATAATTAAAGCATGGTGATTCATCACCAAAACAATATATAATTATATGTTGTGAAATATTTATTTCTAATGACAAAGAAAAGAAATTTTGTCTTGAAGCATGCTATAGCATGGGTAACAGTCTCCATGCTGGGTACTCTTATGTGGGCATTTCTACAGGTATGTGGATCTGCCTGGAGAAGATGGGTAGAGGAGCGGTGTCTTGGTTCCTAAGACCATCAGAAATATGCGAACCCTGTGAAAGGGTCCTTCGACCAGTGACTATCAGTGTCTTCTATGTTGGCTTGACCTCTGCACATCATATGCCAGTTTCACTTACTTACAGGAGCATTTCAAGAGATAGACTTTTGGTTGTTGCTGGTTAGGTTCTTTTGTTTGTTTGTTTGGAGGGTTGGGTAGGTGGGGGGAGGTAGATACCGAACTCTTCCAACACCAGAATGCTTGCTACGTATTTTAACCCTTGCTATGCCACTGCCAGGGTCAACCAGCCATCATCAGCTGGTAAGCACAGCGGTGCGGTTGATCCTGGTAGCAAGTTCTTTGGCAGCCCCTGTTTTCAAGGATGCTGACAGCAGGTGTGTTTCGGATTTTGTGGTGCTTCCCGGATTTCACCACAGCTGCCTCAGCGTAGTTACTGCCATAAGGTCGGAAACCGGTTCAGGCGATGAAAGGCAGAGGAGAGCCATCCTTATCACCAGGACGGACGCCTCCTGGGTGCCAGCGCCATTCGGAAATCTGAAGGCGTTTCTCCACGTTGGTGTTCAGGTTGATAAAGAATTCGTCAGGATGAGCCCTATAGGACCAGTGGTGTGAGTGGCAAAACAGGGAGGGTAAAGGGAGAATGGGTAGGAAAGAGGGAACCGATTACATGG